TGTTCGGAAGTCGTGATCTACATCTTCCCCCCTCCACGCGGTCACATAGTGATGAGCAACGAATGATCTCGGGGCGTTACCGGTAAAGATAGAGTAGACCAGGATGGTCATTTCCAACTTATTTGCCGTCGTTAGCCGTTCAAATCTCAGAGGCCCATCTGGGTACGAGGTTGAGCTGGCTGATGAGAGCACTTCGATCAGAAATCACCGTTTCTGCCTCCCTCGTTCCCGCTGGTAAAAGCTCACCAAATTCGGATCCAATCCAATTTACAGGCCCTAGGGAAACAAAATTCGTCGTATTGGATCGACTCCTCTCACATTTTTCATTGGTTTTCCAGCACGCTATTCGTCAGTACATTCCCTGTGTGTCACCTACAGCGTTTCACGTGGGATTTTACCTTGCAAAACAAAAAAACAATCCACAGATCGTGTTAGCGCCAAGTAAAGATTTCTCCCGCTACTTCGAATAGACCTTTTAAGACAGTCTAAGCACACGCAACGATCGTGTCAACAAAAGGCACAGCATCATGCGGGCTCGCTGCCACGCAATTTTTGGAGTGGCGGGCGACTTAGCTGCAACGTATGCTAGACGGGGAGATGCTTTGCGTTTGATTTAACGTCACTAGCACCAAGTCAACACATCCCCTTGCTGTCGTTTAACGGAGGACTTCGGTAGCAGTCTAATTTTTGGACCTAGCTCTTGCACACTCCGCAGGTCTGCCAATTAATTCCGCACCTCCAGCTGGCAGTGGTAAAATGGAAACTTGTTTAGTTTCTTCGTTGGTTTTCTGTGGTCTCTGCGGATTGGGCTAGTCCACAGATCAGGAGCAAAATTATCCGGCAGTTGTCAGTCGTTGCACGGCCCTCCCACGGATTCTTCGAATAGCATACTAATTGCCGGAGAATAAAGTAAGCAAAATGCAAACACAAATTTCGACACAATAAATGTGATGGAAATAGGCGCCTCTTCATGTCTCGATGGTATTTTCCGTTGTTTTAACACCGCCCCTCCCCCCTCCCTGAGCCCGCAAGCTCCCCAGCAGGGGTGGAAGTAGTCGCGGTCAGGAAAACGACTTCGTCCGTCGTGGAGCCTACACGGATGACCTCGGTGTCAGCATCGTAGCCAGAGCCAACAATGTCCTTAGATGCCGTGGGCTTACTGCTGCCTCTAAGAATAGACGTTTACTGCAGGTTGAAACACCACGCGGACAAAACTATACTTAGTGGTGCTTTCAGTTCGTTTCAGTAATTCATCGGACCCAACTTCGAATGCTACCGAGGCTTCACAAATGGGTCCGAAAAACTATCCAAACCCACCGAAACACCGCTAATTAAATGAACCTGGTGACCGTGTGATAAATCGTACACTGATTGTTTAGGGAATCCTGCTTGGGCAATCAGCTTACTAGGTCAGAATTGATGTATCCCATACGTTGAAGGTTAAGCTGGTAACTGGACCAGGCAGTTCGACCGTTGTACCCTACGAGGTCCACCGTGTGCCCCACAGCACGATGGCGCAGGCACGGTGACTTGCGCGTAAACTAGTTTACAGTGATAGTGGACTTGCACAGCATACACCGCACTCTCTCCTCCCCCATGTGGATCTCGTGTCAAGATACAGTCAGGAAGACCGGAGACTGGAAAGGACGCAGGCGACTGGCGCGGCGAAAACCCGCACCTAGGCGTACCACCACACCCCTTGGTCCACAACACACAATGAATAGAATTTTATACAGCAATAAACAAAATGGACGACACGGATCCCAACTGGCACGGAGTGGATCGGCAACCGGGCGCGCCATCACATCCAAATGTTGGCATTTGTTATGGGTGCGCATTCCCGATAAAGCCCGTCGGAACCCGATTTAACCCCTGTGTTGGTCCTAACTACAACTAAACGCACGGCTCCCAGCCGGGCCCTCGGGCATTGGTTATACCTAAGGACTCCCCCTGCTGTCGCGAGTCTGAATACCACCGAGTTTTACGTAACCAAATTCAGTGAAAACTGTTCTTATCGCGATCAATCGTCCTCTTTCATGCCACAGGGTGCATCCTTACGTCGAAATTAGTAAGAGCAGTCTTTTGCTAGTAACATTAGTAGTAAAGGTGGCAATGGTGGTGGTGGATGCGGCAGCAGCAGCATTATTACCGGAAGTGATCTTTCGTCACTAATTCCTCTTCATTATTAACTGCCCGTCACCCAGCGACTACCCCACGAGGACAAGGGAAAAGCCCGCTCCGAGACCAGAATATAGCATAAGTTGTTGCATGATAAGTTAGAATGTTATGGAGTCGTTTATCGGATCTGGTGCAGTTGCGGACAAAGCAACTACGTCGGAGAAACCAAAAGACAGCTCCGAACGAGAATGGCCGAACACGCGGCAGCGGTGCGCAGAAATGACGCCAGCTCTCAAGTTGCAGCTCATTCGACGAGATCCGGCCACACAGTTAAATTCGATGAGGCCGAAATTCTCGCAAGAGGTGACAACCGCGTGTGCCGGGAGCTACCGGAATCATGGTTTACTGGCCCCCAGTCCATCAACAAGTGCAACGATCTTCCCATTCCATACTCCGTACTGAAACTTCGCCTAGGCGTGGTAACAAGCCATGCGAGGAGCGCAGAGGTGAACACTCTTCCCAACACCGGGGTCGATGCGTCAGATGGTCGAGCAATCATCACGCCAACATCCAACGCACGTGATGAAATCGCAGCAATTATCGACTCGAATGTCGGCCATCAAGCAATGATCACACCAAGTGCGACAATCCCGGATGAAGGGGGTAGCCGTGAACGTTCATAGGTATGCGGTAGCATGGCTACTGCATCCTATAAATACCGCAGCCCCTTGTGCAACAACCACCCGTTTCTGCTCTTTTGTCTCTGATGACGGATTCGAGTAGGAATCCGAAACGTCGTGCTAATAAAGCTCTTGTCCCAGCGATCGTGTCTCCTTCTTCAAAACTTGGATTGTTGCCGATCGCAGCAAACAGGACGTAGGCACTTGACTCGAGTGGTATTGTCTGGACCAATTGGACACGGCCTTGGTCTCCGATTGGGTATGGATAGATGACTATGACACATAAGCCAAAAGTGGTTATTCCAAACTCTCTAGTCCTAGTACATGTTTCTTGATTTTTGTTGTGACAATAGTAACTCTATCTACGAGTCGTACGCGTAAAAGTCGTTCAAGACATACAGAAAGACCTGTGTGGATCAAAAGTTTCATAGTCCCCTTATTCCGGTTAGACGGCTTGTCCCTACCAAGCCGAAACCGGACACAAACGCTAAGTTATAACAACCAGAACATGGAATGAAGGACTACAAAAGTCAGAGTTTAATCAACTGCCTGAACAAATGGAAGCTACAGATATCGTGCAGAAAGAACAGAGGCAACTGGTTCGCCCGGGCGGTAAGAAAGCATGTATGAAAATTGGCAAGCCTCTTTTAGTTTCCTAGAATTATTAGGTACAGCTGAAATTGTGTCGGTGACGAGCCCCCGCAGCACGAAAGGAAAGGAGACACATCAGAGTATTGAAAAGTATACATATGGCAGTATGCACAAGAGATGCAAAATTATATCACAGCAGAGCAGACACGTTTGCAGAGGAGGGGGGTAGTGAGTCAGGGCTTATAACACTGCCTGACTTCATTTCGAGTGCGCCTTTTTCCCCGACAAGGTGTCCCAGTGCCACCGTTGAAGGGCTGTGCGCGAACAGACGTTCATGCTGACGGTCATGGAGACCGGGTCGGCCTCTAAACAGAGTTGGTGTGTGACGTGATGCAGCTGCACGGGATTGACATCCTTGGCCCTCACGAATTTCAGTTCCCACCATTGGTTGCCCTGGGAACCATGGCAACCAAATAGACTGACTTTGGCGGGTGCTGTGCCAGAAACCACGTCCAGGCAGTCCTCGCTGTATGATCAAAACAAAAAAGTTAGGTAGCAATGTGGCTCTGTTGGATGCTCCCATATGCGCAGTTTGCGCAACGGTGAGGGTGCCGTAGCCGCAGTCAGCACAAAATTACAGCATCCTGGTTTTTCAGTGAATTGGGGTATGACGGAAGAACCCTGCATGGGGGTGTAGGCTCGTTTGTTTTGACATCAAATTCTGCACACGTGGCGATAGCTGAGACAATAACGGGAACATACAAGTCAGTCTGATCACGGCTGCGGGTAATGGCACATGCTCATTTGTGGCTCCTGACAACTGACTTAGGAAAAAGGCTGTCAGAACATGAATTTCAGCTCATTTGAGGTTCTTAAATCGGTGGTCTAGAGGTGAGAAGCGCTGAGGTGATGAAGAAACTACCCGAGTCCTTGGGAGACATTCAAGTTACAGAACAGCGGGGCTTCCAGAAGCAAGTGGACTTTCAAGCGGGAATGGCATTAATGGTGGCGCAGCAGCTAGTGCAAGCAATGGGAGATCAAGGCGCGGGGCTGGTGACAAAGACAGCCGGTCAGGCCGCTTGTCCGGAATGTGGTAATCCTCCCTTTTGAAATGCGTAAATTCTGGTGACTAAAAGCCCGGACTTTCTGTTCGAGAACTGAGATCCAGTGAGGAACCGGAGTCACTGAACTGTGAAACGGTCAATACAACGTTAAGCCTGCAGTGGGGAATAGGGAGGGGCAATTCCATAACCACTAAAAGTTCCTCCTGAAGTCCCTTACTTGAGGTAAGGCAGCGTCCCGTTTGCTGTAGTCTACCCTTGAATACCGTTTTGGGGCACGTCCCATGGCTCTTAAATGACTGCCAAAACGGTATATGGGTCCGAGGCCTCATAACTAGACTGGATAAAGTCTCGCCACGATATTTTTTACGTAGCCCCTGCGCAGCCCATTCGGCCTTCGCTTCTGTACTGTTCACCGGTTTTGGTTTCTGAAAAGACGGGCCTCTTAGTCAGCTTTGCTGGGGGGCAACCGACGCATCTGCAAATGGCGGGACGGAACGGCGTTTGACGATAGTCAGATGCGAAATAAGCTGGCTTTTGGGTCTGAGGGATAAGTACTCTCGTGGGTCGTGCGGCAGTGATGCTCCACGACCTGGTCGGGTGCCGGTCAGGTAAGTTGCTTGCCTAAAGAGAACTCACAAAACGTAGTAACGTTATAACACAGCTGGTGCCGCCTGGCATTTAATAAAGCTTTAATCACCGTCTGGTACAATCCTTCATACTTAATCTAATGTTGCGACGTGGTGGATGGAACTATTCAACTCCAAACCCAGGAACTACAGGAAGCCGCCCCTCCATAAAGCCAGTCCACGCAACTGCTGTCTGGCTGGCCATAATCTAACCAGGCTTTCGGTTGACCGAGCGACTATCGTCCGCGCGCTCTGACTTGACCTCCTGTAGGACGGTGGCATCGAGGGGACCGATCCTTAGTGAATCAACACAAATACATTAAACACTTCGTGAGCAGGGCTCGACTAGCACTGTCTTCTACATGGACTACTGTTCAGCCCAGCGCAAAATAACTGGTCTGATAAATGAGTGGACCCAGAGTTGGCAGCAATAAAAGTAAAACTACTAATAGGACTTGAGATGGATCTCTCCTCATAACAAGGTAACAGCGGAGGCGACATCGGCTAGAGAGCACCAGCACGCAGCTAACAGCGTCTTAAATACCTCTTATCTGAGCTAGATTGAAAGAAATGCAGGGAAAGAAGCATTCAATGGTGAAAGTGAAGTGTCCTGCAGAGGCAAATCAAGTTTAGGCTACGAAAGTGGTCAATAATAATTGTCCAAACTCCAGGCCTGCGTTGCAAGGCAAGGGAAAGGAGAAGTTATACAAAAACTGAGTGATAATGTAGCGCCTAAGCAGTGCGAGCACTCAGAACGCCACATCCAGATTTGTAGGAAGGCAGATGCCGCCAGATTGAGGGATCTATTATATACATCATCCTCAGTTGCCCTATCAGGCAGCAGTAGCCGCCGGCGAAGCATGGCAGGACTGCGTCCAGCCATGCTTGAGAGTTAGTGAGACAGTGGTGACAGCCGCTTTTGTAGGTTTGTGGGGAACAGGCTCAAGCCGTCTCCGATTGGTGTGTGTTGCGTTTGCCAAGGGGGTGTTCAAGTGATGCATGGGCCGCCGCGACTCTGTAAACGCGCATGTATAAGTCGAGTGGCTGGGGGTCAGTGCGTCTGGAACCGCTTGCTGTGAAGGTGAATAGCCTCGAGGCAACGGGGCCTCAAATAAGGACGCCAGACATGGCCATGATGGCTGTAGGCAATGACCGCACTTCGTGTGCAGGAAACCAACTTACTCCCCGCATGAGAGGCTCGCACCAATGAAGCCCAGTCACCTTAGTTAGTCCTTATCCTGGTCAATCAATGCAAGAAACAGCAAAAGTTGATTACTCAATATCCTGTTCTCGCATGCATGTATGCTTTTTAAGTGACTAAAAATGCGACTTATGAGATCACATAATGTGCCAATCAAAGTGAAATTGCGTATACTAGGTATTTACTGTCTCGGGCTAAGCAGACCGAGTAAAAACGGGAGTAAACGCGAATAGGGGGCGGAAGGCTAGTTCCATGCTAGTTGCTGGAGCGTGATAACAGGAGGCCTCCCGAATACCACGATCACAAGTTTGCACGAGTCACTGAGGTAGTGTATCGATGACAGCACGCTGGTTCGAGGCCACTGTGCGGAGCTGAACAAGGTGAGTCAGATGCCGGTGAGCAATCGGGTGCAATAGTGTATTTCAGTCGCTGTCTTTTCACGCATACAAATCACAACGGACGTGAGCTGGGACCACGCACATATGAGCATGAGTTGGCCGTGGCGGGGAGACTAAACACCCCAAATTGTTGCCTGTACGACTGAAGCGAGTTATGCTCCCAAGTTCGCAGAACAGACGAAAAGTGCTGGCTCAAAAAGTATCGCAAGCTATGGGGAACCTGAACCTTATAACTGTGATAATAATTCTATCGACCGGCGCATCGATCTCCCGGCCGCATTTGGAAGTTTATGCACCTGCCTCCAGGACTTTACTTCTAGCCAGCAGCGTGGTCAAACGCGTGATAGCTACCGTTCGTTCGCTGCTGTTTTCATCTTTAACAATTAACGGCCACGTGAACTTTAAAGCTCCTAAAAAGAAGTAATTGGTTTCGACTCTAAGACAATAAAACGTGGTATGAAAATGTCGACAAAAGATTAAATGGTCAAGCGCCGACGGACGCAATGCGACATGGTCCGGGCTCTGGGATCTACCCTACTAAAGCATTTTGAGGCAGGCCGGGGTCAGCTGGAATAATGTAGCCTGTAAAAGCGGTATCTTTTAATGCGTTTTTGTACGACGGTAGTGTTAATACTCGGTGGCCGGTGGGTTGTCCGAAGTCCGCTCAACTCGAGCAGTGTAGCGAAAAACGTAAACAGGGGACAGTGTTTTGGTCAATTAAGGCGCCCAATAACTTACTTGCACAGGAACAAGATGACAATGGAGTCTGTTAAGGCTGTACAAGCCTTCCTTATTATAGCTCAGTTTGCACGCAAGCCATCTTTCTTGAAGGAAGAAGAGTGTGGTTTTCGTCGGATGCAAGAAACTGTCGTAAACGTTTCAAATTACGTCAAAGAAGTGATGAAAAATAAACGTAATTGTAGCCGAGGCAGGGTAAAAAAGAAGCCAGTCTCTCAGCTTCCTATCTAGTAGGCAGAGGTTTTAAGGCCGAGTTCTAGCAGAACATGTCTGAGGCTGACGGCAACATAATAGAATATAAACGAAATGAAGTAGTCTCCGGCTGACCGTGTACCAATAAAATGGGATGCAGTTATGACGTAGAACTCGTCGCTTTTGCCAGCGGACGGCAGGTTGTACACGATTCCAACTCAAGGATAAAAGTGATCTCGGTAAACAGACACGGGCGAGCCCTGCCAGTTGACATGTACTCCTGCCGTGGTACGTCATAGTTTGGAAGGGGACAACGAACGTGGATCCCGATCGTGAAATATAGCCTGCAAGCAGGCACTGGGTTGAGCGTAAGCACACCACCTATTTGGCTTTTGTCATTCTGTCCGCCTCCTCCACTAACTACTTCCTACACGCCCAAAAACAAATATGAAAAATAACAAGTCAACATTATACAGAAACAAGGACAGTTGAACGTCCATTGTACTGGAAAAGGAGATAGACAAAGATATATGCACAAAGACTATCATTATTACTGTTGCCATGCTCTGTGCCATTTCACGGAAAAAGCCGGGGAAAATCACCTAATGTACATATGAACTGGCACAAGTTTGGAAATTAATGGTTAACGTTAGTTGGACCTAGAGTCAGTTGAAAGTATGATGAGCGACAAGGTGAAGTAGTATTAGGAAATTGCGGGTCAGGGCACTCGTAGCTCCCTGGCCATCTTAATGGCTCGCTTGTGCTGAAGTGTACTCCAGTGCCATTTTTGCATAGCAACCGAAGGCGCGCACGGCTTCAAGCTGACCGTAAGAGAGATTAGTTCAGCCTCGAGGCAAGAATCCTGAGCAAACCTCATTCGCACAGGATTGGAATCGAATCTACGCTGGAAGTCCAGGTGCCAATGCTGGTCTCCATGACGCCCGTGACAAGGACGCATGATGAGACTCGAAGAGAAATAGGTCAGGCAGTCCTCGCTATCATAGAAAAGAACACGGTATCAACGAAACAGGAACACGCGACAATACGCCCTCTCCGTCTCCCTGTGGTTGTTAAAAATAGAAGACGCCCTGTGTCTAAGCCTAACCCGACCAGAACAAACAATTTCGCAAACAAATCTTGCCAACCACGCTACTTAAAGCTCATGTCGATTTAGAATGCTGAAGACCCTGATTTCAATCGTAAAAAGCATGTTCTGTATAAGCTTGCTGTAAGGCGTCTGGCATGCTTTGATCGGCCAAGGTGCACTAAGATTGGAATGGACGCCTAACCCAGTTTTGGCAGTTCAAAGAAAAGTGCAAATAAAAGAAGTAAATCGCCTGAAAAAGGGCATGCCAACAATTTCGGAGGAGTTCAGGCGATAGTCTGCGAGTATTTGCACGAATCCAATGTAACTGGATAGAAAAGTGGGTTATTTTGAAGTTAAGCCAATAAGTGGAATGATGACCTAGTGCGTTTTAAATGTCGACTTCAGATAGCAGCTGAAAATTTAACAACTTGCAATGACGTCAATACGATGTTAAAACGGGTATAAAATGGCGCCGGTGCAGCGCTGACAGGGTTAAACAACGTGCTTACGCGTGCTACGTGTGATGTGGTTGCTGAATCCGTAATGAGAGTGCTCAGTGATGGCGTCCCGAAGCAAAGGCCACATTACGGGCCCGTTGAAGTTTCATCCTCTTTCTGGTAGAGGACGGAGTTAACTTGTCAGCCCGCAACCTTCTAAACCCACACTGTCAGCGCGACGTGATAGTTTTGAGGTGCATTGGCTCGTCTGGAATTGGGAAACTAGGCGCCAGACCCACCATATTCACTCGTTCGTCTCCCGTATCCCGGTTGTCTATCCGAGTCAAACTGACCGCGTTCCCCTCTTAGCTGGCAAAATTTCCAATCACGACCAGACATGTCACTATAGCTTCGCGTGTGTCCAATCTATAACAGTGAGTAAAACGCTTAATTATCGTGAGGAAGAATACCTCAATGTCGCCCTCTCTTCTCCCATGCACCAGTGGCCTGCTGGAGTCCTATGGTCGACTGACGATGAGATTAGGTACAGTAGCCAACGTGGCGTGAAGCCCGCATTTAACGCGCACCATACGCACGCAAATCAATGACGAAGGACTCATGGAGAATCAGCTCCGTCCAAGTAACGCACGTCGTGGATCAAGGTACGGACAGTTTATGTCTAACGTAACAGGGGGAGAGCAAGGGTGTGGGGACACTGCAAAATTCAAACCCACGGACGATTTCGATTAAGACCTCAAAGAGACTAGCGCTTGCTCGAAACCAAAACGGTGAGAAAAGTCAGAAGTGGCAACTTTCCCTGAAAGTGGCCTGAAAAGACAAACCACTAAATCTAGTCTGCATATTGGAAGGAATAGTAGTGAAACCTGATGCGAATATAATGCAATGCTTTCTAGTATAAAAATTTCCGGATGTAAATGAAAGTGTCCCTCGACATTTGCCGGTACAAAAGTTTTGCAACTCAAAGGATTTTTGTAGATGCGGCAACGGACCTCACAAAAAGTGTAAAAGAGACACTCCATTGCGTCTTACTAATAAGGAAAAGCCACGAGGAGAGAATCCTCTGGATGAATAATGTGCTATTGTCTAACAAAATCGAAGTAGTGCCACCATTACGCGACTGATATCAGAGCCTCTCATGCAGACCCTCACTGAGGGAGAAAATCCATTCTAACGACAGTCTTGTCTAAGCCATGGGCAGTAGACAATAAAAGGATATGGAACAATTAATCTTTTAGCAACAGATGTAAGAATAATAAAGTCATTTTGTAGCCAACAATTCTGTCGACATTTAATGCTAAAGGTACGGTAAAGGAAAACGCCAGGCAGCATAAACTAACCTTCCCACAAGTGCCACGTCCTTTCGCCAAGTATACTGGAATTGACTTTGGACAGACTTGTCGTCACAACGCGCCAATATGACTTCTCTTTGATGACCGACAGCGAGACAGAAGGCCAGACCATCCCCGATCCTAACTTGACCAAGTGCACCTGGAACTGGATCCTCAGGTGGATATTTCTTGGGGAGGTCGAAAGCTATGTTTTCCATGAACCACTTGAATGGCTTGCAGTTAAGTTTCTTTCGGATGGCACGTTGCTCGGTTAGATCGCCTGGATCTACACCCCTGTAGTACGGGCGCCGCTTGTAAACATACTCTGCGTACTCATCCATCCACACGTCCATGAGACGTCTAAAACCAGATCAACTTTAAGACTCACTTACCTATAATTTCTAGCAAGAAAGTCCCCGGCACCAGCACTGGGAAAATGGGCCTCACCTCGGTAAATATGACCGATTCGGGAACAAGGCGTATCAATCATGCGGCCTCCACACATCCATACTTTGAATGAAAGTTCATACTGCTCACCACCCCAAATGAGCAGACCAGGATCATATCCACCCAGTTCCCAGAACCATTTGGCACTTATTGCAAACAGGCCTCCTGCCATCACGGGACTGTCAAATGGATCAGCAGGGTGAAGTTCGTCCCCTGGTAGTCTTGGAAGGCGTTTGTAATTCAATATCCAATCGAATGCGCCTCGGGCTCCTTCATCTTGAGGACGCAGTTCAAAGTTATGCATGTCAATGACATCAATGAAGGGACAGACGACAGTTCTATAGTCCAAAGAAATGGGCTCAAGAAGGGGCGGAAGATAGTTCGTCCCTGGCTCGACATGAGAATCCAGAAACAGAAGAACATCACCAGTGGCCACTTTGGCACCCGTCAACCTTGCCCTTATCAGCCCCACTCTCTTTTCGTGGTGAATCACACGAACAAAATTATTTGGATAATTCTTCTGACAGTATTCGTCCAACTGCTTCTTTAGGAAGGGCTTAAAACTGCCATCATCAACCAAAATTATCTCCTTTAATAAAGATGCGGGAGCACGAAGGATGACAGTAGTGATAGTCCTTAAAAGAGTGGTCCAATGTTCTTCAAAAACTGGAATAATCACTGAAACCGTGGGCAGATTTTTATGGTACAACTTCTTGCGGCAGTCAGGATGGCGTAAGTCCGGAATAGCTCTATCAAGAGCAATTTTATCGCTAACGACTCGGCAAAACCCATTCTCCGTAAAAACCTGCTTGGAGAGAGCGGCATCTTTTCCATACAAAATAACTGCTTTCCCATGCTCGCCTGGACCGCTCCGCGTGAGTTCACGGGCAATTAATTTGTAGTCATGCCAGTCGATAAGGATGCTTTCATTGTGATAACTGGTCAATTGCGGGCGGCTACCGAAATTCGTGCTGGCATAGTGAAGACATTTGTAAGTAACAAATACACAAAAAGAGGCCACCAGTAACTTAACAAATTTTGAGAACTTGAGGCGCATTCTGGCAGGACGGCAGGACCAACATTAGAGACACAACTCAGGAAAAGGCCCCGCGTCGTCAGCTATTTACGGCAAGCGCGGACGACAACACGCACCAAAGCACAATTCCCACAACTGTCTACACCAACGAAAAGGATGTTGCGCAGCATAGGAAAACAAGATGAGTCAGAGTGCTCACACAAAAGTAGTCTAAAAAAGTAGACAGTGGATTACAAAAACTTGCTTTGAAAGGCATGTTTTGTGCGCGGCGGGTGGTCAAACCCGTCGTTCGTAGTCCCTTTCACACCTCAACGGTAAGTACCAGCGACGGAGGAAAAACCAGCAGCCTGACATATTTTCCTGATTTTCTGCAAGATGGAGGAGCGGAAACACCTGTTTATGCTGCTAACCGGTATTAATCTACTTTGATCTGACTGTTTTAAAGAGAAGTCTACTTTCATAATTTCTGCGAATTTCGTGAATATATTGTCCTAACATTACGCACCGCGATTATATGGATAAACGATGTTTGATTTGATTTTTATTTGATTTTATTTATTTAATGCCAGTTTACAGGCATTTTCAGGGAAGCGTTAAACACAAATCCAGCCAGCAGTGAAAAAAATCCTGTGGAAAAAGAATACAAATATAGTTGATGGTGGTTTTATGGATTGGAGGGTTCAGGAGAAAAAAAAACTGCTGGCGACAAGCTTTCGACCGTCAAAAAGGGAGGGGTTGCACGGTATCGGAGATTATCAGACGTCAAGTCCTTTCGTGAAGTTGGGGATAGTTAAAATAGAGGCTCCAAAGAACAACTGGCGCTGATGGCCAAAGAAATTGTCATTGGTGAGGCAGGCTCTAGTATTCAGAGACCACAAACGCCATCGCTACGGTACAGTCGTTCGGTGGATTCAGCGCCCAAAATTTGTGGGAGCTTTTCTGAATGCAAAAATCGACTAATAGTTCCCTTAAATAAAGGATAATTTTGCAGATTTTTTATATTCCTGGGTAGTTATTCCAAATAGCAATTGCATTTACAGAAAAGAATCGACGACATTTAACAGTATGTGCCAGAGGCAGAAATAAAAAGACCTTACAGTGACTGTTACGTCGGGATGGACATGATGTCTTAAAGAGGTGAGTGGGTTAAATGTGTGATTATATTAGAGCTTAAATAACAAAACCAGTCCCTTTTATAATCTACGGAACCATAGACGATCATGGCCTGAAAGCCAGCAACGATCTTGCTAAGACAAATGTCGGCGGTCTGGGGTTAAAACTCTCTTGGTAAAAAATTGTTGAACGGATTCTATTTTCTTCCGCTGAGTAGCGCACATAAGGCTAAATAAAAACGAACAGTATTCCAGGCCAGGTATAAAGTACATGTTGTAAAAGCGCATTCTAATGTCCCTAGTTTTTAAATTTCGGAGGATAAACCCGGTCGTTCTACGTGCTTTGGAGACTATCAAGGCACAGTGCTTCGAGAGATTGAAACTCTTGGAGTATGATACGCTCAGATCCTTAATAAACCCAGACACATTTATGGCGTGACCTTCAATGATTAGTTAAGGTTGGCGGTCGTCGCCAGCCACCGTGACTGAGCACTTATGCCAAGAAAAATAAAGGCGCCATATGCGACACCACTGGGGGAAGGCCTGAAGGTCGCTCTTTAGGAGCTCAAGCACGATGTAATGATCTGCCGGCTTATATCGATATGCAACTTTAAGATCATCGGCATACATGAAAGGCTTACCATTCTGAAATAAATCGAGTACATCATTAACGAAAAGGCAAAATAAAAGCGGGCCGAGTATACTAACCTGAATGACTCCACCCCTCACACGTGTGGGGTTGGAGATGGTATTGGAAATCTGAGCTCGTTGTGTACGAGTACCCAGGTAAGAGAATATAAAATTCAAAAGTCTGCCACCTATTCCGAAAGAGGACAGTTTCAAGAGAAGAAGAGCATGGTCAACACGATCAAAAGCCTTAGTGAAATCGAAATATACAGTGTAAAGTGCAAAACCATTGTCCCTAGATTGGAGAACATAGTCCAAGAAAGAGAGTTGACAGGTCTCGGAGGATGAGATGTTGCGTCTTTCGGTGAGTTCGTATTTTTCTAGAGAATAGTTTCGAGACATTTAACGAATGGCTTTCGGTAAAATGGACATCTTCGGCTAGCTGTTTTTCTTCAGACAATCTCTTAGCCCACTCAAAAATAACACAAGTCAAGGGCAGGACAGAAACGTCGTTCTGAAGATGGAATCGATGATCAAGTCTGCGCAATCAACGACGAAAGGGTAAGTGTAGGAAAACCTCATCACCAACATTACTAATTTTCTTACGGGTGACAAAACGAGAAATAAGCGGATCCCAAATTTCGCACAGTTTTGCAGTGCAAACATTTACATCCGAACTAAGGAAGAAATCAGTCCAGTCGTGGGAATTAAGGTGTGTTAATAATTCGGTTGAGCGAGTTGATCGGAAATCGCGGAAAAAGTTATATTTTGGGGGCAAGTGTTATATCCTCAATTAATATGACGCCAGTTCTGTGCGGAATAGAAGACAGACAGGATAGGAGAGAACAGCTTTACTGCGTCAGTCACCCTGTGTACATCAACTCTTAATCCTTCCGTCCGTGGCTTCGCATTTAAGGGTTCAGCCTTCGTCTGGTTTGCGTGTTCCTACTGGTCCAGTCCTGAGCGCCCGCATGGGCAGGCGCTCGCGTATTGCTGGTCCCTGGAGGTCGCGCATGACTCAGCGGCGTACAAATGTCTGGCTCGCATGCGGGCTTCCTAGGCGAGGCTGTCCGGCGAGTTTTCGGTTCTTTGTCAGGCGTGACCCCCGGACGACTGGAACGGTGCGTCGTGTTCTGGGCCGTCCTAACACCACCCGCTTTCAAAGAGTAGACCTCGTATATTCGACAATTTGGGTGGATCATAAGTCTGTTCGGGGAGCGTCTAGTTCGAGAGGATCGTCTAGGGGCCTGGACCACATTTGGAGTCTCAACCTTCGGACTCGGGATACTGAAAGTGTCACAAAGTAGGTCCATGGCCAGTTGGTTGTCTGACGTCATTCGGTGTCCTAACTGGTTCGCGTGTCTTCTCACACGTCCTCAACTTGTCTCAACTTCGAAAACTACCCCATGGGTCCTTTTGATTATACCCTCTATCCAGGGTTCACTTCCTGGAACGTAATCCCGTACATATACCTCTTCTCCCTCCACGAAACAGGATTTTCGCGGCTGAACCTCTCGGACCACAGGTTTCAGATATTGCAGACGCACATCGGGTTGTCTGCCCAGAAATCTCTCTGCTTGAGTTCATCCACCTAGCTCCGTCTTCGGCGTCGTTCGATAGGCCAACAGAAATGTGTTTAAATGCTCCATCTTGACGCCTGAGTTCCACATCTTTCTCATTGCTCTTTTGAATGTGCCGACAAACCTTTCCGCCTGGCCATTGGATTGAGGATGGAAAGGCGGCGAACTTATGTGTTTGATCCCCGACTTTTGACACATCTGCTGAAATGTGCTCGACGTAAACTGGGTCCCATTATCTGTCACAATCTCTGTCGGGATTCCGAACCTCGAGATTAACTCCTTAGTTTTCTGCACTGGGTTTTCCGCCGTGATTACCGCTACATCGAAAACCTCCAGCCATTTCGACCACGCGTCAACCACGATGAGAAACATCTTGTTGCAAAATGGACCCGCGTAGTCCAGGTGGATCCTACTCCAGGGTTTCGTGGCTTCCGGCCACGACACTGGTGGGATTTTCGGAGGGTTCTTTGCGAAACGTCCGCACGAGCTACAACTACGGACAATAGTTTTAATATTTTCGTCAATTCCGGGCCAGTAAACGTACTTCCTTGCTAACTGTTTCATCCGCGTTATACCCGGGTGTCCAGTATGTAGCTCCCGCAATACTTGTGCCCTATATTTATCCGACAAAATCACTCGGAAATCGTACATTAAGAAGTCCTGCACAAAGTACAACTGATCCTTTCGATTCTTAAAAGCCTTTATGTATGCGTGGGTTATGTCGTCATCAGGCCAGCCACACAGTATGAATGCCCTAACCTGGAATAGTAGCGGGTCGTCCATTGTTGCAACTCTGATGTGCTCGGCTGTGATGAGAACCTGTCGAATAACTTCCCTAAGTTCTGCGTCATCTTCGGCCAGACTTTGTGCTATCACTACCTCTTCCCGACTTTCTTTGTCTTCGCTTAACCTCGACAACGCGTCTGGGGCTCCAAATTTCTGCGTGGGTATGTACTGAATGGTGAAATCATAGTTCAAGAGGATTGTTGCCCATCGCTGATTCCGTTTCGCTGCAGTCTGCGGTATGCCAGCGTTCGTCCCTAGAAGAAACTTTAAAGGCTGATGATCAGTGTGTAAAGTGAAATGTCTGCCATATATAAACTGATGAAATCTTTGGACAGCAAAGATTATAGACAAAACCTCTTTTTCTATCTGACTGTAATTTCTTTCTGCTTTCGTCAGTGACCTCGCAGCTTGCATTAGAGGCTGAACTTTTCCGTCCACATTCTTTTGAAGCAAGACTGCGCCCAGTCCATAGTCAGAGGCATCGGCCTGGACGATCGTTTCATTGCTCAACTCGAAATGGGAGAGCATTGTCGAATGATTTATCTTAGCTTTTATCGTCATAAAAGCTGCTTGGTACTCCTCTGACCAGACGAATGGGGTATCCCTGCACAAAAGTTGATTTAAAGTTCCCTTCACAATGTGAAGTCCCTCTATGAACGGTCCGTAGTAACTGACAAGACTCATGAAGGATTGTAATTCCCTTACATTCGGTGGGGTTTTTATGCTCTGAAATGCCAGCACTCTCTCGGGGTCCGGTGCTCTTCCGTCTGAATTTATTATGAAGCCGAGATAGTGAATTTCTTTCCGCAAAAATTCGCTTTTTTGCATGTTAATTTTAAATCCAGAATTAACGAGATTCTCCATGACTATGTCCAGCCTTTCTAGTAATTCCTCCTCCGAGCGACCAACTACTAGAATGTCGTCTAAGTACGCAACCGCTCCCTGCGTATCCGTAAGCATTATATCCATAACCTGCTAAAAATGCTTGGAGCCGTTTTAATGCCGTAATTTAGCCGCGTAAACTTGAATAAACCTTTTGGAGTGTCGATCGTCAGTAGGTCCTGCGATTCCTCCTCCACTTCTATCTGTAAATAGGCTTCTGAAAGATCAATTCGTGCAAATGACTTTCCACCATTTAACTTGGCAAAAATTTCCTCCACCGTCGGTAGAGGATGATGGTAATCCTCCAAAACATCGTTTAATCCCGTCGAATAGTCAACACACAGTCTCAAGTTCCCATTTGGTTTCCTAACCGCTACCATTGGGGCAGCCCATGCGGAGTAATTGGTGGGGTAGATGATACCCTTCTCTTGTAAACGTTCCAACTCTTTCTCCACGTCTTCCTGGATTGCAAACGGAACTCGACGACATTGCCTGAAAACTGGCTTCTTGTTTGGTTTAATGCGTAAAACTGCTTTCGTTTTGGTACATTTCCCGACTGACTTTTCCATCATTTTCGCATACTTCTCCCGCAGATTCTGTTCCGTTTCTTGTACTGCGCAAAAGATTCTGTCAAATGGCTGACTCCATAACCCTAACTAGGAGATTGTCTTATTTCCCAGGAGGTCGATCGGACGCTCCGATATGAAGACGTCTGCTAGACAACTTTTATCCCCAAATCCGATACTAGTTGAAAAACATCCCTTGAATTTCATTTCCTTGCCGTTTGATGCCCTTGCAGTGACAGGAGTTGGGATAAGACTGGGTGCTCCTATCATTTGCGATGTTTCTACCGCTATAATCGTCAGATCAGACGCTGTGTCCACTTGAAGCCTGACCGCTTTCTCATTTATGATCACGGTTAGGTATTTTCGGTGTTCACAGCCTAGCACCCGTGCCTCACCATCAGAAACGGCGTTGCATTGCTTACTGGGACTTTGCCGCCCTGCTCTGCAATATGTCAATTTGTGGCCAAATCTCGAACATTTGAAACACTTCTGCGTTTTATAGGGGCAGTCGACGACATAGTGCCATCCAACGCACTGCCAACAGGCAGTCTTTGGTCTTCTGGGAAATGTTTCTCTCTGTGGTGGCCAGTTTTTCCTGATGCCCAACACCTGTATTTGTTGACTGTTTGCTTCGCCAATCAACCGTGTATCCTGTTTAATGTTCCTGAGTCTAAAACATTCATCTGCTAACTCATGTACAGTCGTGTCACCATCCTGATCCAGTTTGGACAGCAGCCGCGTGCGTATTTCCGCGTCCTCCGGTAGAGTAAGTGATTTTATGAACAACAGGGCCTAAACCTGGTTTGCTGTTGCTTGCTCTAGATCAGCCTGTTGGTACATATCATTTAGTCTGCCTGCCAAATCAAAATAGTCTTCGTCTGCCCTCTTCTTCAATTTAAAACATTCAAAACGTCTGTTAAACAATGACTTTGAATATGTGAATAAGACATTCAGGTTTCTCACCGTCTCCGTGAATTCGATTTCGGTCAGTTTCTTCGGTAGGACGAATTTGACATACTTCTCGTGTTCCATTCGTCCAAGTTTCAGCAACAGAATTTAAACTTTTTCTCCGTCAGAAAGAATTTTCCCCTCTCTTTCGAACAGTAATTCATATTTTCTGAACCACATATCGAACGTAAAACCGTCGTCAGGGTCGTAGGTGAATTCTGTGATCCTGTCCTCCAACCACTTCCTTCTGTCATCGTTTCCTGTCTGCTTCCAGTCCTTCTGCATTCCTGCGAGAAGAGCCATAAAACTGGTTTGCTGTGCTTCCAACATTTTCTGCATCTGTTCTTCGCTGATCATTTTCCGTGTTCACCTGCGTCGCCACTTGTTATATCCCCAATTAATATGACGCCAGTTCTGTGCGAAATAGAAGACAGACAGGATAGGAGAGAACAGCTTTACTGCGTCAGTCACCCTGTGTACATCAACTCTTAATAGATAGATAAATAGATAGATAATTTTTTATTAAAGACCCGTCGGGGTCCCATCAAAGCAAGTTAAAATAAATTTGCATACGAGTTTTAGACGAGGTAGGCTGAATCTTTACAAAATGCAATTCATAGTTTCTGAATTAGAAGTCCATTGAGAAACATGAAGATTGAGGGGTGAAAAAAAACTCCTCGGAAAAAGTTAAAAATGATTGGATTAATTTTACAGGAGAAAAAACCCCTCTTTAAAAATAATAACAGAAAAAAAGCGAGCAGGACTGGCCTGTAGGTGGCGGTATATAACGGAATGTTTTCGGTCATCGTCAGGGTATCAATAAATGTCCGCCTTGATGGGTACGAATGTGGGTCAGACAGGACTGGCTTGCAAATGGCATTGTATACGGGATTCACAACTCAGATCGTCTGGGCCGGATTGGTACGCCGCGTCAAAGAGGCCAGACGAGAGGAACCGAGATGCGATCGGCCACAGCACGCTTCGAGCTCAGCCGAGCAGTGAGGAAGGGAGGTACGACCGAACTACTAGTAGACAGTGAATACGGAGGGTTCCGCCGTGAGCGTCGACAGACCGCATGAGGTCGGAATGCGGGAGATGACATCAAAAACCGCGAAAATTGTCGCTATGGGGGAGAAGTGATAGCAGAGGATTTAGAAACCAATTCAAAACAGGGGTTTCTGATGATATAATTAAGAGTTACCACTTAATCTACCACTAAATCCCAGGAGGACCCTTCTCGAAGTCAAGAACCTGAGTGTTCGGGAATGAGACCGTTAACAGTGCCTTTATGCTTTCCGGTGTAAGATGGTTGCGTAATTTCGACTTGAATATCAGTAACCTAGGCGATAATCTAATTTCAGGCGGAAGATTATTCCAAAGGAAGGCATATTTGGAAGCAAAGAAGAGGGAGCGCTTAGATGTAGTACAAAGAGGCGGCGGAATCACCATGCAGGAGTTGCGCGTGGCATAAGACCGATCTCTCGGAGTGAGAGTGTCAATGAGCGGAAGACTGGAGCTAGAGTTGATGCGAAAAAGGAAGCAAAGGCCAGCTTTGAGTCTTCTAACCCACAAAAACTTCATGTTCGCCAGCTGACATCTCTGAGTATAAGAAATACTGGACGAAATCCTTCCGTCCGTGGCTTCGCATTTAAGGGTTCAGCCTTCGTCTGGTTTGCGTGTTCCTACTGGTCCAGTCCTGAGCGCCCGCATGGGCAGGCGCTCGCGTATTGCTGGTCCCTGGAGGTCGCGCATGACTCAGCGGCGTACAAATGTCTGGCTCGCATGCGGGCTTCCTAGGCGAGGCTGTCCGGCGAGTTTTCAGTTCTTTGTCAGGCGTGACCCCCGGACGACTGGAACGGTGCGTCGTGTTCTGGGCCGTCCTAACAGCAACGATTTGTCAGCCTCGAATTCCAACGCTGAAACGACTATGTCATGGTCTGAGCCCCCGAGTGGGCCTAGGGATGACAGATACGAAGGTATGCAGCCTCTACAGAAAATCAGGTCAAGTATTCTTGATCCTGGGGTGGAAAAATCTACAACCTGAGTTCACATCCCAACACCCACAGCCTCAAGACTGTCTTCGAACCTTCTGGGGCCTGAAGGCGGAGACCAGCGGACTTCAGGGAGATTAAAGTCACCCGCAACCAGTTTATACTTAAAGCTTAAGTCGGCCGCAGCATGAAATGCCTGTGAGAGTAAACGATCAAAATTTCCATTGGCGTTGGGAGGGCGATAGACGCAGCCAATGAGTAAGGAGAACTTATTTTTTAGTGCAACCTGGAGCCAACAGCTGCCTTCTACTGCGGAAAAGTGCGGGAGGTCCAACGGCAAACATGTAAGTGTTTGCTTAACGAAGACGCAACTGCCCCCACCACGGCTGTCATGACGATCATTTCGGATGCAATTATAGCCTAAAAGAAAGAGTTCGGAGTCAGCTACGGAGGCTGACGCCCACGTCTCAGTTCCCAAAACAGTATCTGGACAATGGACGAAAACCTGAGTCTGAAGCAAAGGCATCCTATTAAGCAATGATCTGGCATTTAAAACAATGAGTTTGAGGGGAAAGACTGTTTGTTTCTGAGGGAGGTGGGCCACGTCGTTCAGTGCTTGGCTGCCCACGGAGCAAACGGTCCGGATGTATCCATCCGGTTCTGCAAAAAATTTCGTGACATCATAAGATTCTGTCGTGGATAAAACTGGATAGGACTTGGGGAGGAAATGACGGGCAGGTAAATTGGTAAGCATTGTTAGCTAACTCATTTTCAGCTGGAAATCCGCGGGCCAGATACCGCAACACATTTCCACCGGAACGAAACTGAGGATCGGATAAGTTAACGGACCCGGTTTGGACATTAGCATGAGGAATACATTGATGAAACGGCCGTTGAGGAAACAAATTAGGGAGTGGGGTGCATATTGTTTCCATTGGAGCAAAAGTTCTATTAAACGGCGAGAAAATCGGCACATTCGGCCTAACTGCCTCGACATGAGGGCTGGGGGCATTTGGGAACACGTTACGTTTTGAGTCGGGGTGTTTAAGGCACTGTTAGCCGATTGTGGAGGAAAAGATTTTATAATCGTGCTGGATTTTTCGGGTGTCCGAGGGGCTGAGACAGCAATCGGATTTGCCTT